AAATGCACACCCTCTATAAATGCACATTTTTTAAAAACTTTACTATGGTCCCGAGGGGAGTGCATTTAGAGAGGGTTTCACTGTACTCCATTCAAAGTTAATCATTTACATAGAAACCGGTACGGCTGATGAAACCTACGCTTATGCCAAGGATTAAAGACCTGTGTAGAGAATTTGTATCGAATACTTCCAGCCGTAATTATTACAATAGACCAGAAAAGTTAATCCACAATGGGACATGGAAAGAATCCGAAAAAGAAATCACATACGTCGTAAAGGAAATTTTTGGTGTTCTTGAGGATTTTTGGAATAACCCAGCCCTTGATTCCGAAATATCAAAATCGTTAAATGAAGGAACTTATCAATCTACCGTTATCGTACCGGTTATTCGAGCAGTATTAAGAAATCTTCCTTTTAGGACGCCTTCATTTATCACTACCTCGGAAAAACAGAGTATTGCTAGTGCCGATAGGAAGGGGGATGGGAAAATGGGGAGGCGTCCAGATATCATGCTAGCGATGAGGTATTTGGATGTATTCTTTGAACTTATGTATGTTGAATGCTCCCACTTAATTTGTAGCCCACAAAAAAAGATCGATGACGAGATAAAGTTATGGCGTGAGACTAATAACGGACTATATTGGACGCGAAAAACTCTTAATCCGGATAAAGATCAATTTGGAATAGTTGGGGTGCAAATAGCAGGTGATACCTTACATCTGAATGTTCTTGTCAGGGATAAAGTCAATATTCATAAAATTATCATATTCAATCGGCTAAAATTCCTGTGCGAATATCAGATGAAGATGAAGTAACTAACTTTGTGGAAACACTTTTGCGTTTACGTAATATAATTATTACCAACTTATCTTTACTATATCACGCATCAGTAATTGCATCAGAAAGACAGAGAGAAGATAGTACTACAGTTTCCACTCCACTCTACGATAACTAGACTCCGTTATATGTACTTTTTCTATTTTGCGTCTCTGACACATTTATCTCAATAAAGATGGCTCTGGTGGCTGAATTATTATATACTGTACTTTGTGCGATATACAGTATGTGATTAATTTTTTGTTATTTATCGGGCACATGATCAAGTGTCGACTGGAAAAATAAACTATACACCTAAATAGTCATCCCGAAATAGATTTGCAACGATTATCCCAGATATAGAATGACGCATTATCAATAAACCAACTATCCTTTTATCACTCTCGGCCATGTATGTTCCACGAACTTCTACGCCAATCACTAATTTGTAGAATTAAAACACATGACACCGCTCGTGTGGTCTACGTACAAATACTTTTCCTGTAGTATGTAGCCGTGATAAGAAAAACACAAAAGAAGTTTAAAAAGACTATAAGTGGAATGGGCTTATCAACCTTCACTACTCGTTTTATCAAAATTCATATGTCATAGGACCTCGGGATTCCCAGATCGTCGAGATCATTACATCGCAGGAGAGATTGTCGAATTTAAGGGGCGTTTTACCGGAGGCGATCACAGGTTGATTAACCGAAAAAATGACGAAAATATATTTGGTTTTGGAATAGATTTAACAGCTCTGGACGATATAAGATACAAGGCTTTTTTCTCTTGTAA